GATGGATGGATGGACGGATGGATGGATGGATGGATGGATGGATGGATGGATGGATGGATGGATGGATGGATGGATGGATGGATGGATGGAGGAACATGCCTCCATGTGTGACTCCATCCTCCTGTCTTGGTGTGATGAGGTTACCTGGTTGCTGAAGGCAATGATCTTCCCAATGTGTTCCTCCTCCTGGCTCCTCGAGGGCCGGCCCTCTGCAGAGGGAGGAGCTGCCATGGGGGCCTCTCCACAGTCTTCTCCTGAGGTCTGGTCTGAGTGTTTCACCTCCTTCTGTTGATCCACTCTGACTGATGAAGACTGGGCTTCTGTGGAGGTGGTCAGATCCTGCTCTTTCACCTCAGCTTCTTGGTTGGACTGTTGAACTTTCCTGTCTGAACTCTCCTCCATCACAGAGTCGCTGATGGTGTCAGAGAAGGGGACATCATTAGAGAGGTGGTTTCCAGAGATCTGGTCCTCAGGGGACTCGGCTTCAGTTTGATCGCTGTCTTCATGAAGGACTGACTGAACAGCAGAGGGTGGAGCAGAGACGTCCTCGGTCAGGACGGATGCAGACCGCTCTGACTCTTCATGAAGGACTGANTGAACAGCAGAGGGTGGAGCAGAGACGTCCTCGGTCAGGACGGATGCAGACCGCTCTGACTGCGTCTCATCGGAGAGGTTTTGTTTGCTCTTGCCATCATCTCTGTCTGAAGCAGGAGGAGGGTGACTCGGACTCGTACACTGCTTTTCTTTCAAAGATAGGGAGTTGGAAGGAGTGGTAGATCTCCTGCCGGCTCTTTTGTCCGGAGCTTCTGGACTAGAAAACGTCTCAAAGGAGTGAATCTTCTGCCTGATGGACATGGTGGCTGCTCCTGAGGAGGACCTGCCCCCCAGGCTTCTGCTGACTCCAGCTGCAGCCACCTCTGCTGAATGATTAGCTTGCCTCATCTGATCCTGGTTGTCTCGTCTTTTCTTCAGACTTGGATTAAACCAGGCCGGTTTCGGGGCCACTGGGGGGGGTACTTTTGGCCCGGAGGCTTCATTAAGCTGGTCCTCTGAAGGAGGGGGCTCCAGGCTTCTTTTATCTTCCTTCATGGTTGCAGGGGGGGGCTCTGGTTGAGACGGGTCTATGGCAGAGCTCTGATCGATCAGTTTAAGCCTCAGATGAAGAACCTGCAAACAGCAAGGAACCATTTAGGAGCCAAGAAGCATTTCAAATAAATCCTGAATAAATGCAGAATATTAGCAGTAAACTCTGATTTCCAAATATCTGGGATGTTTCTTCTCGTAGTCATAGGTGACTCCCAACATGTTTGTTTGTGACTTAGAGGGTTTAGAATGCATCAGCAGCAGCTGTTGTTTACATAACTGTAGAATAAATAAATAAACAAGGTCATTTCAAGCTGTTTTGTGTTTTTTTTTTTTAAAGCCAAGAGAATCTGTCTTTTTCCAACTTCTGTCCCTTCAGCCTGACAGAAATAAAAGTCACCAAACACAGTTTTCCAACCTGTAGTGTGTATTTATCATTTTTCATTGCTGATATACGACGATGGCTGATAGCAGGACACAAAAATTAAGATTTCCTGAAAAGATGAGAGAGTAGACTTTCTGCTAAATCCCCTTCTAATGTAAAATATCACAGATTACTGGATTAAGGACATTTCTGTTATACGACATGCCATCACACATAAACAATTTCTGAGAATTTGGAAACAGTTGCTCTTTATTTACATGGTTGAGGACCTATTTATTGTTCCACGCTGCCCCTCCTCCCTTTCATCGTGGGGGGCATATTCCCCTGCCCCTCCCATTTGCTGAACAAACTTCTGCTGCTGTTGTTTAACAGCATTTTAACCATTTATCATTTAAGCTGAAAGTATTTTATGTTATTTTAATTGCACTGTTGTTCTAATCATACCTGCTGCTATTAGTGAATGTATTAACATCTGGCCTATCCTGGACAATCTCAGAAGCCAGTTAAAGGATTCTTAGGGTTTTATTCTTTTTCTTTATTCTTTTTGTTTTCGTTAAACTAGTCATTTAATCTACCTGGTGTTTATTTTCTAATAGCGTGTAGTGTTTGCATAGATGTTAGATTTCTGTAATCCTGAATTATTATAATAAAGACGTCAGTGTTTAACTTGTAGTGGTCTTGTAATCCATATAGCGGACTGTTTGTCACTGAGGCCAGAGACGCCCTCTTTTGGTAATAATTTAAATAAACTGAGACAAATAGTTATTTGATTGATAATTAATAGCTCTGCTGATAACCTAGCCTGGGTCACTATTGATCTGGATACCTGGATTTAAACCGCCGGT